TAGAAAAAAGCTTTCAAGATTTTTGTATTGGTCATCTAATGTGCTGATTTCGTATCTGATTTCGTGCTGATATGACCAATCAAGTTTTTGACTTTCAAAGGTTGAAATGTTGATGAGTCATACTTCCTATTACTTTTTCTCCCGAAAAGTAGTCTTTTTTATGGATTAATAAAGTGAAAGTGTCCACCATATGACTGGCTTGTTTTGCTTCTCGTCTTTGATGAAACAATTTTTTCACTGAGAGAGAACACAGAAAAAAAAGATAAAAAAAAGAATTTTCACTGTTTCAAATTTTTGTGGCGAAAATAATCTCAAATTTTACATTCGAGTGAATGATAAGATCATTTCTCGATGAAAGAAAAGAGAAAACACAAGAAGAATGAATACAAAAAAATTTTTTTGCTCCCTCATGTTTTTAGAGCAGAGATAACTCTCAGTTTGTTGCATTGCACTTGACTAATGATACTTTCGAGTCGGTAGTACAGAGTTTTCTGTAAGCTTTTCTAAACTTAAGAACACGAGGAGAAACAAAAAAATTTCTTTTCGCATTGTCAAATATTGAAAATAGTCAAAAATTTAAGACAAAAGATGCGAAGAAAATTATTATATTACGAAACTCAATGCTATACTGATGGAAAGAACCATATATAGAAGTTCTATTTCAGTTGGTCTCGTTCTTCGACTTTCTGGAGGAGAACCGCTTCTCGGTCTCCCAGCATTAGTACATTACCCAATGTATACGGATGGTATCCAGTACTTTCCATTCAAAACCATGTCGATGCTGGCATCTCTAATTACGATACTTACTGTAGGTTCAAATTATTCAAATCACTTTCCTTCCTCCAGACAGCACTTTAGGTATCTCGTCTTAGCGAGCACTTATTCAAGGCGGGTCATTTGTCACCAGAACTCGATGTGCTTGGATGTGTAGTAGTCCCACCGGAAAGAATTCCACTACCATCGGATGTATCATTCAATGTTAGCAGTGACACTCTAGCTATGAACAAGGTAAGCTAACCACTCATCTCTCTATTTTTTCAACGCAGTTATTTCTTTCAGGCAAATGGCCATGGCGCTAATGGCGCTAACAACGCTACATTTACGGAGACTTCCTTACTTCATCCTAATTACGCAGACCAAAATTATCTGTCGACCAATTCACGTTAGATAGCTTCAAGCAAATATATTACTCTTGCAATAATACGAACAGACTTCTATCATTGACTTTTTTATTTATCATTACGTCATAGAAAGACTACATTAGGTCTTGAATAGATTAGCATTTTGTACTAGAGTAGACCTAGGAGATCGCAACTACGAGTAGAATTTTTTCTGTGTACCGACTGTGGATAAACGAATGGCCAAGTATATTTTGTGGATGACTTTTAAAGAAACCACGATATGTAATGTATTAAGACGATACAAAAGTATTAGCACAGCCTACTTTTCTATTGAAATTCTTCGTCAACAACAATCAGGAAGCGAGGTGCGGTCTATCCTTTTAAGATAGACTGTACCTTGTTCAGTGTGTCATAGCCTCTGCGTTCATGCGCGCTGTCACCTTTTACAGTTTTTCGTGTCATAGCTGATGATCCCACGGCTTCCGACCGTCTTATCTTCAAAGTCATTTTTCTTTCTCGAAAGAAGTATCGATTATCTAACTCAGCACTCTGAGCATGTTTCTGATAGAAACGACTGATGTACAATAGGCATGAATTTGCGATGAAGCAGAAATCTAAGCTTGGAATTTGTCAAAAGTCTCATGATCTCGGTATCTCATTTGGTTTTTATTAGAAAAGTACTTAGCTTCGGGTGGCGAGCAAACCATTGGACTAATCAGCATACCTTGAGATG